ACACTAGCTAAAAGCTACAATTCGAAAAGCAGCAGCTAAATGATTAAAGATTAACAAGAGAGTAGACAAGCTAAAATTATCAAAACAGTATACGCTTAAATGAGAAAATACATAGTTAAAACCTAAAATTATCAAGCAGTAGCTGAAATCTAAATGTTGAGTAACTGTGACTAAAAGGTAAATTTTGCCAAACAACAGATRAAATCTAAAATGAGTAAGGTATTAGCTAAGCTGCAATAAGCAAAACAGTCAGGAAAGGTAAGTTTATAGCACATTTCAAGCCAATTCAAAGAGCTTTACATTATAAAAACATAAAAATACGTAGATTGCAGTGGCATTTTAAAGTGAAAAAATAAGTTGGACAACTAAATAGGCAACTCTACAGTTTTAACCTTGATTTAAAAGAACTCAGGGTTTCAGCATTCTTAGTTTTCTGGGAATTTGTTTCAGATTAGTGGAGCATAAAAACTGAATGCTGCCTCTGCATGTTTGGCTTCAATTCTGGGGTTGCAAGTTTCACCTGAAAGTACATAATACAAAACAGATCAAGTACTCAGATAAAGATTTCAAGAAAACATTTTGAAAAGTTTAAAGAGATCTTAGTTCTTTCTTTTATTCTAAATAAAGGTAAATGAACAWTATTTAAGTTACAAAAGCTAATAGCAGAAAACCTCCCTACTGAAATGAATGTTTTGATGATGCTTAAAATGCAGTGGGAGTATAACACATGTGGAAAAAAAAACGGTTGAAGCATTCACATCAGTGTGATTGCTGACTCAGCATTCAGCTTATTAAACCTAAGGAGCGAATAGACGCAGGTGTACACGCACTGTCTAACAATAATGTGMGGTAAACAGTGCTGGTAAATTATTCAGGACTGAGTGGACCCGTACCTCAGCAGTCGTGTTGGCAGTCTCATTAGCTTGTTCAATTTACAACTCCAACATGCTGTTTGCGCTTCATTAACAGAGCGAGCCGACTCAAGCATGAAGAGGGAGAGAGGATTCTTCCAGAGAGAATTTGTAATGTCCTARTGTAATCTGCCTTAATTTTCTGCATTCCCCCAGAAAATTATTACACCTCCTAAAGTATGTCCGCTTCATTGCATCATTAGTTCTCGATGCCGCTTTATGCCTGAGTTTGGTAATTGGCCGTTTCCTCAGGATGTAGTCAAGTAAATACACAGTTTTAGATCCTAAAAGCGAAACAAAAAGTGAAACTCTCATGTTAGTCCCACTGGCTTTAGAAGATTTATTATCTCACCAGTAATCCTCCATCTGGGTTGATTTTTTTCCAGCTAGTTTTTTTTTCCTAATGCGGCACTATAATAACTACAAATTAGCACACATGGGCATTTTTTATTAGGCCTAAATGATCTATTAATTTTTTCAGCAGCAGTGTTAATTGTTCATTTAATTAAAATACAGTTAATATAGAGAGATAAACTCCTTCAAAGAGAACAATATTTCTCAATATGCTTTTGATTTTCTGTTTACGGTCATTTATTTTAAAGGAGCATTCTAGAAGTTGAACCCTGCTAATTCACAGAATCCCTGGATCGCATTTGGTAAACCGACCAGAGAAGTGCCACAAAACCTGCTGAGATTTCTGCCCAGCAACATTTTCCAGCTCGTCYTTGTGGACCCAGAGCCAATGCCAGGCCAGAGAAGATATATAATYCCTGTAGCGAGTTCTGAGCCTTCCCCGGGGTTGTTKTTTTTTTTTTTTACCAATGGGATGAACACCGGAAAACCTCTAAAGGGAGGCATCCTAATCAGATGCCTGAACCACCTCAACAGACTCTTTGATGAAGAGGAGTAGCGGCTCTACTCCAAGCTTCCCCCKATGATGCAGGTCCTCACCCTATCTCTAATGCTGCGTTCACACCGAACACGATTTCAGCTTCAAAATCGCAGCCAACGCTGAAGTTGGTCGCTTGTGCACTTTGAGGTCAGACGCAGGTCAGCTCTTGAAGCGCTGCACGGCAAGAGCCTCCCCGAACCTCCCTCCTCTGTCGGGCTCTGTTTAATGTCGGACGAGGAGCAAGAGCATGTCACGTTCATCAGATAATTAATTCATAATTAATTCACCAGATAATTCAGAGTAGAGGCTCACAGCTGCTTTCAGGACTATTTTTCCAGTCTGATGAGTCGCTGCCACGCATTGGTGCAGATATCTCCTGTCAGGACACCGACTGCAGGCACTCGATTTCAGCTAAAGAGCTCCTCTCCATCTGTTTCAGGTTAGTGGACATCATTCAGTAAACTGTCCCGTCGGGAAATATGTCTCTACGTCACACAGTGGAGTCTCTCTGATTGGTTGACGCGGCGCGTCGAGCTGCAAAAGTTCAGATTTTCTAACTTCAGCGATTTGCGCCTCAGCGCGTCGAACGCTCAGATCGTTCAAATCATTCGAATCGCGCTGCTCTAATCGCGCTTGAGGCGCCGCAGCACTTCCCGACGTTGCTTGAAGCGCGTCCACCATAGACTTTGCATGTAAACCTGAGGCTCCTGATGCTGAAATCGCGTCCGGTGTGAACGCACCATAAGGCTGAGCCCCCTATGAAKGAAGCCTATTTCAGCTGCTTCTATCTGAGATCTTGTTTTATTTTTATTTTTWWTTTTTTTTTTGGTTGTGATCCATGCTTCATTAAAATAGATGAGGGTTAGAACGTAAAAGCTTTGCCTTTCGACTCAGCTCTTTCCTCACCACGATTAATCAAAGCAACACCCTCAATACTGAGGACAAGAATCCAATCCCCCGATCCATCTTCTGCTTCATCCTATAATCACTTGTGAACAAGACGCCCAGATACTTAAACTCCTCCACTTGTGGCAGAGACTCCTCCCAACCCAAAGGGGACATTTCACCCTTTTCCTGTTGAGAATCATGGCCTCAGACTTAAAGGAACTGACTCTCATCTCAACAGCGTCACGCTTGGAAGCAAACCGCCCCAGTGTTTGCTGAAGGTCTTGGAAGTAGAAAGAAGTGTGAAAATGCTAAAAAAAGTGAAAAATAAATAAATAAAATAAAAACACTTCAACAAAAGCATCAAACATTGACACTTTACCTCAATCACAATTTATTTGTCTTGCCACAACTCCTTTTTCCCCCCACAAACATCAACCACATCTTGGCTTAGCAGAGCTGAAAAAGCGCCACACATGGCTCTGTTAATGCTTTGTCATTGTGTCTAAAGACTGAGCGACTGCGCTTATGCATTAAGCACTTACCGGAGTGGAAGTAAAAGCAGTTCCCATTAATTGCATATCATTTAGACAAGATCTCAATTGTGTAGTTACTTTCCAGTGATGCTGTTAATGTTATACATTATCTGAAATGACTGATGTATCAATAGTATTCATATTTTCATTTGAGAATTGATTTTAGAGCATAACGATCTGGTATTGAAAGTATAGATATTCAGAATATCCACATATCACAAGTAAGAGCTGCTTTGGATTACTCAAATAATGGGTGACCTGTGACCCCATCAGGTGCCACTGGAACAGGATACATAATTATAGTAATAACTTCCACTTTTTAATTATTTCTCACCACTAAAAGGAAAAATGTGGGTGATATTTTGTCTGCGTCTGGGGCCAGATTTGATTGTCTCTAATGTTAGCAAAAATGTGTCATGAACCATTAAATGTCTTTTAATGAAACTCTCGGAAAGTAATCACAGAATGCTCATTTGCAACTGTGTACTTTTTGGAGTTGGTTTTAAGAAGACCACCCCAATCACAATAACTCAGTCAATTTGACCAAAGTTGAGTTAAAATTTTAGTGGAGTACTAGCTGAAAGTGATCCACAACATGTAAACTAACAGCTACAATGGTATTATTGCTTAAAACTTTACGATTATTTATTGATGTTTATCCTGCCTGTCTGTTAGCAAAATATATTAATAAACCACTGGAAAGATTTTAATGAAACACTGAAAAAGTAATCCAAAACAGATTTAAAAAAAACAGCCATGAAGGTGTAAAAGAGTGGAACCAACTGGGGATTAGACTTAATGCTGCATTGTTTTTAAAAGTTAAAACCTGAGACCTTTTTTTCTGTTTAATTTTTTTTTCTTTTTTGATGTAAATGGCTTCCTTCACGCCACCCCGTCTCTCAAACTCCATCATCTCTGCCTAAAATATGAACATTTGGTCTTTGAAAGAGCCCTTTAACCTTAAAGTGTACGTGTAGGTGCACAGCTGCTGGAAGAGCTGCTCTCCTGTGTTGAGCATCTATGGAGTGATTGTTTTTCCAAGGCAGCGATCTGAACGTTGCTCTCTACAAATTAGCTTTCTTTGCTGATTTGACAAAGGCCCAGTTGAGATAGCCACAGGTTTTGAGAGCTTTTGGTTTGAAAAGCATGTCTATTTAACATGGTGGACCAYGGCTAATTGAACTGAATGAGCACAAAACCGGTTATTTCTCTATCAGTGTTACAGAGACTGAGCTACATTCTGGTGTGAAGCACCAACAGATCGCATAAAATCTCACAAGATTGCATCATAATTATATTTTCAAGGTTTGATCAAAACAGCTTTACCCCAGTATCATGAGATGATTTTAGTCTAAAACTTTGGCTTATAAATGGTGGAGGATAAGCACATTTTCAAGGATATTAAGCAATAAATGTGAGTTTTTATTCTGGTTTTAAGCTACAGTACATCATGAATGTCTCCATTTTATTAGATCTAGAATAACATAAGACGATTGGACTGTAATGAGAAGTGTTTCCATCCAAGTTAATTTAAACAGACTTTAAGAGACACAAAATCGTGTTTGTTCATAATGTTTCTTCATCTGCAAAACRTGAAAAATGTTTTTAAATGATCATAATTTGCACATTAAAATAGCAAACATTCCCTGTTGTTTCTTTAACAAGCAAAATGCAGAAATGTTTCTGCAAAAGAACATAAGTAAACTTAAAAAAATCYACAAAATGAAGTGGTGCTATTTTCATGGATAAATCTAATGAAACTGCACTTTCAGTGTGTAGAGTTTTTGAGTAGTCTTTTATTGAATAAAATGATGGAACTGGACAAAAATCTTGTGTTTAATTAAATGGCCTGACTGAATGAAAAAAAAAACACAACATGCATAAAATAAAAGGAACTCAGATCACAGCACGACACAGAGCATTCTCTGATGTCCGTGTTCTTTTCTGRGACAGAACAATTGTGTGAACTTGTTTCATTTGTATTCTGTGARGAGGGCAGACTGCTGTTTTAATGATGGTATGGTACGTGATAGAAAAGAACTCTGTTGCATGTGATGCACAGTAGATCAGGACAAAAATTACATTCAATAACAGAGARTCAACATCACTCTGATGGATCTCAAAACACATCTTGGGAACTCCTGTTGAGGAAAACGATAGCCGAATTCTGGAAGTCACCCACATCATTTGAGTTGCCCTTAATGAGACAAAAAAAGAACCATTAGTACTATAAATACAGATTTGTTGACTGATGATGTACTTAAACAATCAGAAGTGACATTTGTAGGAACTTACAATGAATTTAGCATTCAACCTTTCTGTTTCAGATGGCGATGGATCGCTCTCTGGAAATGAGAAGTGAGGACTTTTAAGCTACAAACACATTTTATTTTTCAAAGTTTCTTACTTTGTTTATTGGGCTTTACAACTTTCTAAAAAAATAGAAAATTCAAATAAATGAGATGCCTTACTGTGCTTCTTCCACAACCTTCTTGAGAAGAAGGCCATGATCACAAGGAACATGACAGAGGAACACACCACCACGGAAGCCAGCATGTGACTGAAAAACAGATACAAAACACGTCTAACAAGTTTTTATTAAGGGTGTTAATGGATGCAGTGAAGCATCCTTATTACTCTTCTGTTTAAAGTGCCTCTGACAACAATTTTTTGTAGTAAATATGAATGCATTTTGGTAAAGATGAATAGCATAATGCAAAATAAATTTTATGCTACTGAGATGAATAGTTGTTGAGATATTTGCTTGTGAAGTAACAGGAAGTGATGTCAAAGGGGAATGTGAACAGAGCAGTGCTACAAAGGCGAACAACCCAGACTTGCATCTAAAATACCTAAAGTAGATAGAAATGTTAACCACACTGTTACAGGTTGTGTAAATAGTTTATTTCTTTATGAAATTGACAAAGAAGAAATAACAAATATTGTAAAGAATCTTGCAGACAAGAGATCAAAAGACTGGGTTGACATGGACATGATGTTTGTAAAAGACATAATGAATTCTGTGATTGAACCGTTTACATACATTTGTAATTTATCATTTTCAACTGGTATATTTCCAAACAACATGAAAATAGCAAAGGTAATTCCTCTTTTTAAAAACGGTGAAAGACGTGTGTTTAACAACTACAGACCAATATCCCTGTTACCACATTTTTCAAAGATTTTAGAGAAATTATTTGTGGTAAGATTTGACAAATTCATTGATAAGCAGAATATACAGTATTAAGTAACAGTATGGGTTTAGACCAAGAAGTTCTACATCGATGGCTCTCATTGAGTTAATAGAACATATAACAACAGCTGTTGATCCAAAACAGTACTGTGTCAGTATTTTTGTTGATTTAAAAAAAAGCATTTGATACTGTAATAGAACTAATATTTTTATGTTTAAGCAAGTAATTCATGACAACCTTTAATGACCTAGGTTTTCATGACATTCTGTTCATCTGCAGACAGAATGATTAAAGTCAGAACAAGATTTGCTAACAACAATAATCATTCTTAGATATCACTTGTGTTTATCTTTGTGTTTTCCATTGACCTTGTATCAAATCTTGCTAAGATGACATAATGGTGTTTGTTAATATACATAAATGAGGCCTCTCGAGACACAGGGAAAAGCAGAGAGTACAGAGTTCAACAGTAGTGTGGAGAGACAGTGAGTAGTGTGGAGAGACAGTGAGTAGTGTGGAGAGACAGTGAAT